GGCTGCTGAGCTGTCTTGCCTCTAGGGTAAGCTGCTTGACTTGGCCGCGGCGCAAAGCGTTCGCCTCTACGTACTCTATCCTGCGCGATCGGTGTGCGGGGCAGGCGGGCGGACGTCTACTTGTCTGTCTACCTACCCAGGACTACAGGGTAGCTAGGAGCTGTTGTGGTCTAGGGTAGGCCGTCTGACTTGGCCGCGGTGTTACGGCCCGTCATGCGACGTTCACGTGCACCCCACATTTTCCACTTTACTCATCATCACACTCACTTACGCGCCATGTCACCTCCCTGCCCGATCATTCATTTTCCTAATGATCGCGACGCGATCATTGCGATCATTTGCGATCACTTGTGATCAACCAGTTGTGATCATTGTCTACCACAATGATCACCCAGTATATAGTCAACCCAGTTTCCCAGGTAGAGCACTCTTCTCCCCCCAGCTATCAATACAATAGTCAACGCTTCTATTGAACCAGCTCCCAATATAAGCACCTGCGACTGTGACTGCCTCATTGTTCAATTTGACGCCCTGACGGCCTCGCCAACATAAAACGGCATCATCTCTGTCTACCCTGTAGTTCAGAGCTGACCCAACGTCAAACATTGATATCTCTTGTTCAGACCGTTACCGTGTCAGACGCTGAGCAATACCCGACACTTCGGCAACATGTCCACGCCTACGACCCCAGCATCCTCCAAGGGTAAGCAGCTTGCTCGAGGGCAGAACCCTGCTCCAGCCCGTGACCCTGTTGAGCAACAGCCAGGAAAACCGGCTCAACACATGGACGTCGACGACGACGATGACGACGATGATGCGAACAAGGAAACTAGACGAGAGATTCAGATGCTCAAAGAACAAATCCAATACCTAAGCACCGAACTCATCAACATGGGCGGTACCCAGACCCGACAAGCCGCTGCCTACGAAAAACGCCTCGAGGAAATGCAAAACCTTTCGACCACTGCAAGCACTAGAAAAGAAATGGGAGAAATTGTCAAGCCATCTCCCCCCGGACTGTTTAAAGGAAGGCCCGAGACGCTTCAACCCTTCCTCACTCAGCTCCGCGCTTACTTCATGTTCTTCCCAAGACAGTTCAGAACAGACAACAGCAAGGTTATGTTCGCTGCCGGAAGACTGAGAGGCACCGCACTCAAGTGGTTCGAGCCCACTATGCGCAAGTATGTCAACAACCCTGCGTCTCCACCGGACGACGTGCAAGAGGTCATGTTTGACTATGGACAATTTGAGAATTCGCTGTTGCAAGTATTCGGTTCTGCCGACGAAGAAAGAGAAGCCGAAAACCAACTCAAGAGGCTTCGACAGACCGGATCCATGTCTGAATACGCCACCAAGTTCCTACAAGTCACTTCCAAGCTACCGTGGGAATCTGACCACCTTATGTCTGCCTTCTACGATGGCATGAAGGAAGAGGTCAAAGACGAGATCTACAAGATGGATCGACCCTACGACTTGGCAACGTACATGTCAATGGCCGTCAAGATTGACGACAGACAGTACAGCCGACGACGAGAGAGGAACCAAGGAAACAAGTACTATCCCAAACCTTTTAGAAGAAGCAACAACCAACGAAGCAACAACGCGAACCAAGGCAAACCAAGACGCCAACAGTCAACCGCATTTGGCCAGCACGCTGGACTAATGGAACTGGATGCGATGCGCGATAAATCTAAGGAAACCTGTCACAGCTGCGGCAAGAAAGGACACTATGCCCGCGAGTGCAGACAGAAAAAAAAGGATTGTAAACCCGTGTAAGAGGGGAAGCATCTCAACACCTCACCAGCCAAGCACGAAGTGGCTACTACACCACCATCGCGAAACACGAACTTCTCTCGTGGACGGCACGCTACGACGACAACTGCCGAACCCACGTAAGCGATAAGGACGCAAGTAGATAGTACCCGCGAAAGCCAAAAGGGAAGCAAGCCCTCGCTATGATAGAAAGACGACCCGTTTAACGCGAAGACGCTGTTTTAAACGAAGCAACCATTAAGGAGAAACCACGAGAAGAATCCATGTTCGAAGAATTTGTCAATTGTTCTGTCTCTAACTCAATGGGAACGAGTGAAGCCGAACAGTCCGGACAGGATGCTAACAACTTAATGAACAAGATTGAACCACTAGTCGAGGCTAGTGAAGGAAGAATGAGCAACAAGATCTTACAACGAATAAACGAACTCTGCAAACACTGCGTCCACAACGACAATAGCACAACGGAAAGACAAGTGTTGCATGAGATTGGCAAGATTTTTTAGACTATCGAACCCTACACGCCTGAAGGAATAAGGACTTAGGGATGGGTCGAGATGAAACAACGATATGCAAGGAATCAATGCCCGCTAAACCGCGTTCAGGAGATCGAGGATTCCCTAGCGGAGGGACTGGGAGCTACCGACGCTAACGAAGCACCCGCCAGCATTCGAAACGGATGGGTGAACCGACGGATGGATTCATTCTACAAATACTATATCGAGATGGATGGACTACGAGATTATGTCATCCGCGAACAACTCGTCTAGATCCTGCGATAGATGAACCCCCGTACCCTTTAAGGTGACGGAAGAAACAAGTAGAACGAAATACAACTCCTTTACGGCAAGGAGACGTGTCCACGAAACAACAATTGTCTTATCAGATGATGCGATGAGGACTACGCAATCAATTGCAAGGGATGTCAGTATCATCAAGAAAGATGCAACCCGACGTTCTAACAGATGGACCATAAGGAGAAACCCGTCTCACCCTTACAACTTGACAACGCAAACAAAGACTGTAACAGTATCTAGGGAAACGACAAATGTCATCTATAACAGGGCTACAGCATGACCAGGAATACCCAATAACCCTAGGTGCCGACCAGGCGATCGGAAACCTAAAAACGGTATTGGAAGTCTAGATCTAGGGACATCGCATGCGAGCACTATTAGATAGTGGTGCGATAGGCAACTACATTTCCCTAGCGGTGATTACCGACACTAGCTACTATAGAATTAGAGAATTGAACCATACGAGCTTTTTAATATCGAAGGAGGGACATTTGACTATAACGATAGGAAAGTGGATAAGTAAACCGATCAACTCCTTATAACCACCTAAGGACATCATAATACAGTCATCTTTAATGTGATGGGCTTATCTGGTGTTACGACCCGTTATGCGGCCTTCACGTGCACCCCACTTTTTTCGCAACCGTCCCACCACTAACGATCTGCCTAGAGAAGAACATCACGACTTGGTTCACTACGTCTTCACGTGAACCACGGGTGAACCAGCAACTGGTTCACTGCCTGTTCACCCTCAACCATGGTGAACCACGCAGTATATAGCCAACCTCATTCCATAGCCTAGTCACTCTTTACCCAGCTATCAATACAATAGTCAACGCTTCTTTTAGAACTCCAGTTCCTTCCACAATTAGCACCTGCGACTGTGACCGCCTTATTGCTCAGTTAGACGCCCTGACGGCCTCGCCAACATAAAACCGACACTTCTCTGACTACCCTGTAGCACAGAGTCGTACCAACCGTCACAGGAAGCCATAGTGTCGAGTATTGCTCAGCGTGTGATATAGTAACGGTCTGAATAAGAGCTATCAATGTGTGACGGTTGGTACGACTCTATACTATAGGGTAGTTAGAGAAGTGTCGGTGTTATGTTGGCGAGGCCGTCGGGGTGTCGATCTAAGCAATGGTGTAGTTACAGTTATAGGTGCTCGTATTGAGAACTGGTTCAATAGAAGCGTTAACTATTGTATTGATAGCTAGGGTGAAAATAGTGTTCTAGCTAGGGAATGGGGTTGGCTATATACTAGGTGATCGCTTCATTACTTCAGCGATCACTGACCGTGATCACCGCGATCGCTGGGTGATTAAGGTGATCGTTCTAAAGGCGATTGCTGAGGTTCGTTGGTGACTGTGTAATTGGGTATGGTGTTGAGGAAAAAGTGGGGTGCACGTGAAGGTTGCACAACGGGCCGTAACATTAACGCGCTGAGGGGCCGGAATAAACGTGCTTGACAGCGGCAAAAATAGTATCCTTCAAATAGGTAGGCATTTTGGGTCACGATAATATAACTTATATAAAGATAAGGCATTATTTGCGTGAGGGAACGCGATAAAAGAGGCTGTGATGCGAAGTGGTGATGTATGGTGGGTGTGTTCCAAAAGTGGGTGCGTTGATTTACCGTTTTCAGGTCCCTTTCGCCCCACTTCTGTAGTTCCCAATGGTTCTCGCAGCTTGGTTATCTCGCTACAGGCACAAGATGAGGAGCTGTTACTATCGTGAGGTGGTAGCTGGTTCTGACTTATTCACTCTTGGCTGTAAGTATAGACTGTATAGTATTATACTGATCAAAAGTGTTGGTTTCACCATATTCTTTCATAGAATTATGTGCTAGTGCTAACTTTAACTTGATTATAACGTAGCTTTATACCATGCTGTGTAGGACAGAGCACCCACGGCCGGTCTGACCCGGATGGAGTCCGCACTATTTTTTTGTTTCGGGTATGTAGTGTGAACATGACAATGTGGGAGTAGATACCTAACTACTGACTACGTTGCAATCTTTACGACTAAATTTGTGAGCTCTGCCATGCTTTTGCATATGCCACAAGGTCAATATTAGTATTGTACTTATAGCATTGGTCAGTCATGGAATCTAGACGCTATGCATTGGAAAATACTGCGTCTGACGTACATTGAATAGAGATATCTCAAACTTTGGGTTTCAAAAAATACAGCTTATATTGTAACATTGGATCGTATCCAAGGGTTCTAGCTTAGAAGAAAAATACAAATTGTTTGAAACTAGTACACAGGAACTGGGAAAGCCTTGAACTCGTAGGTCCAGCTGTCAATCGACTCCTGGTCCGTAACACAGTCAAAGGTGTCGTTGTTCTTCCAAAGAGGTCGGGTAGGCCACTGGCAAAGCAGCTGTGTCTCGCCCGCGTATTCTCCAGATGAGACTGTGGTGTTCAGGCGCTCAGGCTTGACGCCATTCTCGACCCAATCAATAATGATGTCCATGTTGTTCTCGGGGTAGGGGCCAGGCTGGAGAGAGTTGACACCGCAGTGGGCGGCACCAGGAATGAGGTAGAATTGGTACCAGTCCTGGAGAGCCTCCTCAGCCTCCTGGTCAGTTGAATTGGGGTACAGGACACTCTTGACAGACTGCCTGTAGTGAATGGATGAAGCAGAAGGGATGCTGGGGTCTGACTCTCCATGGTAGTGGAGGAGCTTGCCACCAGACTCGCGGAAGGTTCTGATGTCAGGGTACGCCGTCTGCAGGCTGTCGTAGTACCGGTAGAAGCCAATGGTCATCCAGTCGACCAGTGTGTCGTAGGTGACACCATCGAGGTCGGTCAGGTTGTCGAGGTCAAGAAGCTGGACGAATCTGGTGACATACTCACCACCAGTTGAAGGGATGGTGAGCTCCCACTTTCCTGTCTTTGAGTTGTAAGTCGGACTGGCGTCGTCCAACCCGGAGCCAATCTGCCAAGAAAGGTAGGCGCGCTCGCCCTTGGAGTTGAAAAGACCGTCATAGACGGCCTGGGCAACGGCAACACCCTCCTCAGTGACGGTACCGTTCTGCACGGGCTTGTAGCTGGTAACGCTTCCCTCGGCCCTCTTGCTGAATCCGAAGCCGAGCGAGGTGCTGTTTTGGGCAGCACAGTAGTAGGGTTCGCCAATGATAGACTTCAGGTCAAAGTTGAGCTTGCAGAGATCGGTGCGAGAAATGACTCCATCCTTGCGGCCGTCGAGGGCATCGCAGGCGGAGATGGTGGCGTTAACAATCTTGTCGAGCTCACAAGGGGGAGGGAAGTAGTCCATGGTAGCCTCAATTGTAGCAGGATAAACGTGGAGAACCTGCTGCTGGGCGAAACGGAAGGCGGGCGCACCAGCGACGACACCGTCGTATTGGTCGCCATAGCGCTGGACCTGGCTCATTCCCTCGCGGCCACCGTCGGAGCAACCTTCGTAGTAGGTGTAGAGCTTGTCATCATCCCCAAGACCATAGAGGTTCTTGGTGACGGCCTTCCCGACCAGGGTCATCTCGCCAAGAGCCTGGTAGCTGAACATGTAGGTCGCATCCCAGTTGATGGATCCGTTGCCGTATAGGACAATCTCATCGTAGCTGTTGCTGAAGGCGTCGTAGCCAGCGTCGGTGGCACCCGCAGAGGCTCCGTACGGCAGACCGCCCGTGGAATCAGAGTTCAGAGTGAATCCTCCTCCACCAGCGACATAAAATCGGTTCTTGAAGTCGGACGTGCTGGGGAAGGCGTACTTGAGTACAACCTTGTCGCCCTTTCCGGTGTGTGTGTATGCGACGGTCACATTGCAGTAGTCGTACGTCTCGGTGCTGGGCGATCCACCCATACCACCTCCAATTGTCGCATTGTAAACAGCGGCTGCCGTCACAGAAGAGGGAACCAGGTCGATACCCAGAATCGTGCCGTTCGAAGGGAGAGCACTCTGGACTTTGGCCGTGCTGCAGATGTCGGTAAGGGACGAAGCACTGGAGACAGCTGCGAAGGCAGCCGTCAAACCGGTGCTCTGGCGCATTGTGATAATGTTGAGAGTAACTGAAGAGAGAGTGAGGCCTGGGGTGAATTGGTGCCGAGTTCTACCTCACAAGAAAGCATCATGGAAGAGCACTTAAATATGTGAAAACCTGATGATAGGAGAAACTTTGCGTTTGATTTAAGCCAGCCAATGGGATCTTGGTTTACCGGCCCACGTACGTTTTCGCCAATGCCAATAGCTTGGCAAGCTGGGGTTTACGATCTCTGCAGTGGCGTAGTCGCGGGTTTAGAAGAATATGTGGATATCAACTCGTGGAGTGGATACGAAAGTTGTCTAGAGCGGACTGCCAATTACTAGCAATCAGCCCTGTTGGCCCATCTGGCAAAATTGGAGGCGTAATGGTGTTGCGCGTCACTTCCTTACTGGAAATTACTGACCTTGGAAGCACTAGCAATTGTATTACTCGTACTATTCCAAGGTATCAATGGAAGGCGAACTACTCCACTGTCCAACAATGTGCCACACCGATATAACAATTGCCTCATGTTCACGGGCGCGATACTTGTAGCTCAACTATTACGCAGTACCTGCTTCGATATGTGATATATTCATTGTACAGAACTGGGGTGAAATAAATCACGCGCCTGCCTGATACGAATGTTCTGGTAGAAACGGAACGAAACATGACGAAATGGGAAAGAGAATGTCGAGGCATTTCCTCGAGATGGGGCGGTGGGTCCACTGCCTGGTTCCGGTTGTACGGGTAACTCCGTATAGCACCAGCACGAGCAGGTACTACGGTCTAGATGTACTGTCGTTCCGCACTCGTACGACGTACGACCACGGAGCAGAATGAATCGAAACCACTGGGGCACCATCGTACGGCTCTAAAAATGGACTGCGGATGGCAAAAGTTAGCATAAAGAACAACGAGTCGAAACAAGCCCATCGGCATGGGAAACTGCGTGTTGTGCTAAGCCACAGAGAGAAACATACGCGGTGCATGACGCGTAGGGCTCGGATAATGCGGCGCCTTGTATAAGGTAAATTGGGTTAATGCCACTATGAATTCTTAAATGATTCAGGGGCCTTATGCTTCCGGAAAAGGCTCATTTGCGGGGGCCACGTGATATGCACTCAGGGGCATTGACACGGCCCCTACTTCCTGTGTACCTATTTGTATACGCGTCACACGTGCAGTATACCATACGAAGGGTCACCAGTGGAGTCTGATGTACCTACCGCCTGACGATCGCTGCCTAAAAAGAGGAGCCAGAGGACTAGGCCGGATTTGGTTGATTTGGCAAACAGGTATACTATGTCAATTGGGATACAGATAATCTATACAGTAACAATAATATACTAGCGGTGTTATATCCAAACATCGCTCTCCAGAGACACGTATCAAATAAGTTTTGGTGGTACAGTTGACCTTGGAGAATGAAACGAAGATGAGCCTGCTCAAAGTCTGTCAAGTCTTGGAACTCACGCTTCTCGGCCTAATACTTGGTAGTCTTAATTGTGCCACTCGAAGCCTGCAGACGCTCTCGCTTGTCACTTTCCAGCCAATTGACCAGTCGATTCACCAGCAGGATGCCAGCGGACGCACCGTACTGATTACATGAGGGCGACAATTTTGCTACGGAATTGAGGGGTCATTGTTCCGGGAGGTCCGTGGCACCTAGTTCCCAGCAATGTAAGTGAGGATATCAAAGCCGTCGATAGTGGCCTTGTTGGTGGATCTGAGTACGTCATTCAGAATCATACCGAAACTAGTCCCCAAGCAGAGCCGGAGACACTCGTGATATATGATCCGATAAGCAGTCTGGTCTTCGCTGTCATACCCCTGTGCCACATACGCCACACCGCCACATGTGGGGCTCACACCACACATCACACTACTGAGTAGCGGAGAAGCCACCGTGAACATTATGATGGATAACCTTCGGGCAGAGTTCCGGCCTTGCTCAAGTATCGACCTTGACGCCTGTACAGTACTATAGTTCAGGAGGAGGACTAAGATGAATGTACCTTTCGGATCGACCCGTACTTTTCGTCTCGTTGTGGAAGACCTCTTCATTTTCCTCTTGTTCCTTGAGACTTTGATGATCTACTGTTCTGCATAGACAGTTCATCCCTTCGTCCTCCCTCAATAGTAGGTCAGGTGTTCAGTGGTGTTGAACGCCTTATTGATAACCTTTGCGTTACGGCTCATTATATATAAATGCCACACATATCTAGACCATCTATCTGTCAACAGTATAAGGCTATTATAACCTGCTATATCTATATTCATGTGGGTGAAGTCTAGGGCTATCCGCTTCCCTGGTCCTTCATGATGCTCCTTTAGCTGGCGAGAGATCTAACGCTTTATCTTAGCCGTTGTAGCCGTCACATTCGACCGTTGATGGCCCTCGAATTCGCACACCGAGAGACTATTCAAGTAGATCCTCCATCGCGTCAGGCCCCGGGTGACCAAGCCGCAGATACCACACATCTGCCGGGACCTTTTCTTATGACCGTTGTGTGATCATGGCCACATCAGGTAAGTCCAAGTCGTCGTCATTGACCACATACTGATCGTAGATATAGATATATTGAACATGACTTTCCTTAACGACCTATACCTTATATAATAACGATCCACCTTCGACATATCGAACTATATATCCTATTCCTCGAGAGTCTAAAAAGAGAAATAAAATTATAAACGAAGTTTTCATATAATGCAACCTCCTCGAGTATAATATCATGCTTCGAGTTTGGTACTTCTCTAAGTCTATTGATCAGAACTGTCGAATCGCTAGCTAGAAGAGAGGTTTCTTCTTTACCTAATCGGGATAAGTAACTCTTATTATCGATAATATGCATAATGGCTCCTAAGTCTAGGATAGAAGCATTATAAAGTGCGTACTGCCTTGCCGCTGTCATCACTATTGGCGAGATCGACTCTATCTTCGAATCCACCCCCCGAGGGAGTCAATCCGACTACTCGGCCTTTTGTTGCTTCTTGATGTTTATAACCTGATTCTGGACGCTTTTCTTCGCGAGATACTTCTTGGCTAGGGACTCGAGCTGAAGTCGAGGCTTGAACCATGCGCTTCGAATGTCTGGAAATGCGTAATAGCAGACATCAAGAGAGTGGAACTGCTCACACACAGGACAGACTTTCCTAGTCTTTCGAGACTTTCCTTGGTCCTTTTGATCCTGCTTTTTCCGCTTGTTGTTGTTGTTGTTGTTGAGTCTTGGCTCAAGACTGCTGTCGAATTTATCCTTATCTGAGTCATCCCTCGTCTCTGTAGTTGTAAAGGCAGCCTGAGCCGTTCCGGCTTTGACGTTTGTATAATGAATTTGAATCTCGTTGATAACCTCTCGCAGCTGCAGGGATCCATCGTCAAGTTTTGGGGCGAAATAACTCTCCCAAATCTCGACTTGGTAAGGGTACACCATCCGAAGCACGCGCATAAAGCTCGTGAACCATATAATAGGGTTTCCTTTCCAGAATTCAAGGCGTTCACAGTTGTCGCAGACTTCTTCTGCAGATCTGAGCCATTTTTCGATATGTAGCGACCGTCGATTCGGATGCATGATATTCTCATATCTTTCAAGAGCGTTCCTTTTCATCTGCAGTTTGTTGCCCGTCACACGTTTCTGGATGTTTTCATACCAACTGATGATGTTATCATCTCCCTCTATAGCGTTATAGAAGATGTGGCCTGCTACCGTTGTCGCCATCCATTTCTTCAGTCTGCTAACTTCCTTATTCTCATCGTCGAATTCTTTCAACTGCATGTTATATCTATTGACAGCAGGACTCGAGGTAGCCTCAGGAATCGTCGGTCTTTCGAGGAACGGTTCCCGCAAGGGTATAGCTGGGTCGATTTTCTTCCAGAAAGATCCAGCCTACACCCGGAACATCGCATTCCATTTTATCCAATCCGTTAGACCGTTCAACGTTGGGTAGTCCGTGGCCACCGTTGAATTCATCGTTCGTTTTAATCGGTCAGATTGGTGTTGCGATGAGACTCTTAATTGTCAGACGGAGCGGCGGAATAACGTCGGCAAAAAGCTCCTCTAAGTTATCGGTTCGGAAGGGAAATAATCCGGTGGATTTGATTGGATGATTGTATTAAACAGATCACAATTATATGTGAGGAATTAGGGTTATTTGAGTGTTATTTTAATAATGTTGATGATAACGATTTTCATAGGGGTAATTGTGACTGTAAACGTAGTCTTTTATCGCCCGGGGCTGCTGGTCGGGTCGGAACAACCTGTCCAGATAACGACTCAGCTGCTTATTCCAACTGGTGTCAAGGTTCTTATTCTTTCATTGTTGTTGTCGTGCCAAACTCGTCGGGTTTATGGCCGAGTCCCGCTTACCTAAGCTATGATATGATCTACTATGAAATAAACTATAGTGTGTTTTACTACGACATGCACATCGTCTCCTTATTGTCGATGGCCATGGCAGTCATACAACGAGTGAATTCCCTTTCGGATGCTCTAACAATAACATCTTTTGGTCCGTTGAAGCACGTACTGCAAGCAGGTTGCGGCTCACGCAACCACTATAGCGTTTGGATTCAGCTCTGACCTACAGGGTAGACACAGATGATGTTGGCGAGACAGTCAGGGCGTCGAACTGAGCAATGAGGCAGTCACAGCCGCAGGTGCTTATATCGGGAATTGATTTAAAAGAAGTGCTGACTGTGTTATTGATAGCTGATGTAGCAATAGTGTTATAGCTACAGAATTGGGTTGACTATATACTGGGCTATCGCTGAGAGAATGAAGCGATCGTGTTGTTGTTCGTGTGAGTGAGTGTGATGATGACCAAGAATAAAAATGTGGGGTGCACGTGAAGGTCGCATAATGGCCGTAATACAGACTCGTGAACAAGCGGTTCTCCGGATCAGGCGTGGAATTGAATAAGTGGTCCTACAGTTGCGTCAGTCAACCAGGCAAGGTCAATTGTATCAAATTGTTATACAAACTTACACGATGAAGTAGCTGTGGCTGTGCAACGGGTGCAAGAC